AGGACTACACTTGCGGCTCTTGGGTTTGCTCCTTCTACTGCCAACCCGTCGCTATTTCTGCGCACCGACACCTCTTTGCCACCGTTCTACATCCTCGTGTACGTCGACGACTTGGTCTTTGCCACTGCTGACACTGCTGGACTCGCCCACGTGAAGTCAGAGGTGTAGAAGAGATATACGTTTATAGACCTGGGTGAACTGCACAGCTACCTTGGCTTGCAGACCACCCGGGACAGAGCATAGTGCACCATTACCCTGACTCAGTCACACATGGTGCAGCAGGTCCTTCAGCGCTTCGAATTCACGTACTCCTCGCCTCAGGCCACTCCTCTGTCTACTCGCCACTCGCTCTCACCTCCGCCTTCGGATGAGTCCGTAGAGCCGAGTGGCCCGTACCCAGAGCTTGTTGGCTGTCTCATGTACCTGATGACCTGCACACGACCTGACCTTGCATACCCTCTTAGCATCTTGGCACGCTATGTTGCTCCTGGGAGACATTGACCAGAGCACATGGCTGCAGTGAAGAGGGTGTTGCGCTACTTGTGCAGTACGTCGGGCATGGGGTTTGTGCTTGGAGGGCGACGTCGAGTGGTCCTCACAGGTCACACAAACGCTTCTTGGGCTGACGACTAGGCTACGCAGCGGTCGTCACAGGGTTACACCTTCAGCCTTGGCTCTTGCTCTATTTCATGGTGATCTACCCGCTCGTCTTCTGTTCTCGGCTCCAGCTGTGAGGCTGAGATCTACGCGGGGGCCATGGCTGCACAGGAGCTACGTTGGCTCACCTAGCTGCTGACTGACCTAGGAGAGCCGCCTCGTTCTCCTCCAGTTCTGTACGTAGACAACAAGGCCATGCTGGCCTTGTGTCGGGAGCACAGACTGGAGCACAGAACGAAGCACATTGCTCTCCGCTACTTCCTTGCTCGTGAGCTGCAGCAGCGTGGTCAGCTCCGCCTTGCTTACGTGGCCTCTGAGGCCAACACTGCTGATATCTTTACAAAGGCACTTCCGCATGATGATCATCAGAGCTTCTGTAGGATGCTAGGTCTTGTGCCTACTTGGCCTCACTTGCTCACTTCTTGACCTTGCTTGTACTGTGATCTTTCTTTACCTGCAGTTGCTTGTTTACCTTAATATATGATCTTGCATGTGAACTGGCCTTGTGGCCTTGCTCTTGTGCTCGGATTGTGTGGTGACGTTGTGATCCACCTTGAGCTTGCTTTGCTTTGCTTGACTGGTCTTGTGACCTCTTGTTCTCCCCCACTTTGCCTATGGGGGTGTGTCAAACTTATATGCTATAGTCTGTGTAGGCTGTAGTGGGGTAGACTATATGGGGTACAACATTTCTAAGTTTTCCTACTTGTACCCACCTCCTTCCTAGTTCATTCATTTCCTCGTTTCTTCACATTTATTACCACTGCTTGTAACTCAGACCCATGTTATCAATTCGGCCCTTGCGAATCCTCCCCTATCCTTTTACATATTACACAGCAACGTTTTCTACATGCGGAGAACGTGGCACCAGCGACTAGTAACGGAATCGCCGGGTTCCACGCGAAAAGCGCCGAAAGGTGTGCTACATATGTTTTTTGTAACTCGTAACCAAGCTATCATTTTCCCATGCGTGTGCCTTAGGTTGTAACTCGTTCATCTATTCTCACGGGTTATGCTTCGCGAGCAATCGATCTGTTCGTATCTTGCCGATATGTGTGCAGATTTGTCGCGATGGCTTGTAAGTTCCTTTTTTTCCCGCCCCTGCCACTCCTCCCATTCCTTAGTGCATTTTAATTAGTTGCACTATTTTTTTTCCCCAGCCTCCCGATAATCCTCGTCGGCATGCTCACTGCATTACTAGGACTGGTGGCCCGCGAATCGTGTGGGACGAGGCCTCTTGATATCAGGGTAAATCACCCTTATGGCCCTTACTATAAGGGTGGGTTTATGTGTTCACCCTGATTCACCGACGTGATTTCTGCCGCGATTAGCGGCGATTTGCCCGAGTCACCAGAATTGCGCGTCGCCAAGACCGCTCGCGTCGCCAAAGCCACAGTCCCGCAACCTGTACCCGTACCACATGCATTTTGCCTGCCTGGCGGTGACACACAATGCCATACAGATGTGCATCATCCAGGAGAGTCCTGCTTGGTCCCTTCCTCCCTCCCCACCAGACCCCCACCCACCGACCAGCCGCTCTCACCCAACCCCAACCCAGCCAGTTCCTTTTATTCATCCAGTTTTCCTCCTCGTGGTCTCGTCTAGGGTTTGCAGACCACGCCTTCCTCCTGCTATTATAAGCATAGCTCCATCATCTACCTCCAAGTCCCTCGTCATGGCTGTTGTCACCAGCGGTGAGGATGACGACGAGGCTCGTCGTCAGGTCCTGCACTCACCCTCATGAAAGGGCCTTCGCTTTTTAACAGTGCCTTCTAAGCGACTGCTTGAACCAGAGCCCGTCGTTGCCTCTACTGAGGCTGAGACCGCGCTGGCTGAAGCGGGGCGTGATGTGCACCACGACGCCTGAACTGACACCACGAAAAGCACAACACATGTAATGGAGAATACCGCTGCTGCTCACAACTGTGCTCCCAAGAAGCTGAAATCTGGTTCGTGTTCGGCACGACAGAAGTGGCGGCAGCAACCTAAGTCGAGTTTCACTCGCGGGGCTCATGCATACGGTAGCAATGTTCAATGCTGGCAAGAAGCACCGCCCTGCTCAAGAGTTCCTTTCCTATACCGTATTAACTTGTGCTCACTGCTAAGCTTATTCTGTTAGAACCAGGCACTGGTGCTATTGCTCTGTTAGTTAGTGCCATCTTTAATATGTAATCCACGCTTAAGTCTAAACATGAAAGGGTGAAAACAATGTGCGCACTGATGAGCAAGAGTACCTTTCCAGCTGACACTGATAAAAAAGACTGACATGGCTGACCCACCCTTACTGAAAGACCAACTTCAGTGAACTGGCCTTGCGAGTAAGAGTGCCCCAAATCCTATCCAGAGGCCTGTGTGGGACGCGGCGTCTTCAGCGCGAGAAATGCGGTAAGTGTGGTAGTCTCACCAAGGCCTCTCTCTGCCTCTGCTTGAGCTTTTAACCATGCACGTTCTAACCCCATGTTGTCTGGAGTCCAACCTGTAACGATAATGTTGTTATGTCTTTTGTTGATGTAGTCATCGTGTTTCAGGCCTGATTTCCATGTGCAGGGTTCATGGAAGTCAATAGATGTTTCCACGCGTTTGAACAATACCCAAAAGCTCTCAAGCATATCGAAGGTAATGTTATGAGTGACGGTGAAGGGCCGCTGGTGGTAAGTCGCTGAGGTGGGGAACAAGTACATGACTAACCAAAGTCTAACGTTATGTCATTGTTTTGTTTGCAGGCGTTAAAACGACACATTTTTTCGCCATGTGTGCCCTTCATATAAGATGTTTAGCTACGTATATAAGTACTTGGGTCTAGCTGTGTTCGTTGTTCTGCTGTGTTATTGCAAAGTGTATACTTCAGAAGTATGTACGCAAATGTCAGAAATATTGTGTTGCAGACGAATGTATACATAAAAAATAGCAATAACAATCAGCCAGTGAAACGAAATCCCCGCTTGTGCGCTTCAGGCAAAACGGCGGCTTGTAGAAATCAAGTTTCGCACACTTCAAGGTCATGTCTGATTGGCCCACATGGCATGTTGCCGTACACATATCGAGAATGACACCTGGCACAAATATCTTTGCTTACGTGGCAAAAAATCTTCACGTACGTACCAGCGTACGTACACTTCGAAGTCGAAACTGTACGCAGGCCATGTGGCAGGTGGTGAAACTGCATACATGTGACTGAAATGTATACGCAACGTGTCCAAAGATTGTCCGATAAGTTGCGGTTGTGTTGCGGGAAAGTTGCAGGAATGCAATTTTTTTCGCAACTTTCCCGCAACCACGATCTCTGCAACATTTGACCATCACTAGAAAGTTGCAAAACCAAGGTATCCAAAAAGTATCCTTTTTGCAACTTTCCCGCAGCTTTCTGGCAAGTCCTTTTTCGCGATAGGGGAGCTAATGAGCGCGACGAGGAGGGAGATAGCAAGCGCGACGGGAAGGGGAGGGGAGATAGCGAGGGTGGCGGGAAGGGGAGGGAAGATAGAGAGGGCGGTGCTGAGAGAGGTGAGATAACATCGCGACTGGGAGGGGAGGGGAGATCATGAGCGCGACGAGGATAAACGAGAGGGCGAAACGAGATGACGAGCCCCGATCGCATGAACGACTAAACTGATGAAAGGGAAATCGCGTGGGCGGCGGAACGAAGAGCGCATGCGTTATGAAACAGCCGGAAAAACTTACGCTCGGCCCAGGCTATACTACGCAACCGTGCGATTTATGCGACTATGACACGAGGGCCTAGGTTTAGAAATCAAGTCTATGCCTTACGAAGCTACTAATTACTTCAGAGCAAAAATGATCAAGCGCAGTGATAGTTGTTCACCCAAGCCCACTTTGAACCTCGAGCTGGGCCCAAATCGCTTCGACGTGCTGAGATATTGCCTTGTGATTGTCGTGCACAGAAATGCGACGTCGCACGTAGAACATCTTTCATTGATTTTGGCGGGAACCAATCACATGAGTTTGATCTGCTATCTGGAACAGTGCAGCCTTGTCAGTTTGGTGTAAAAAATGTTTCGCTCAGCATATTTGTCGTTAGCACTCTTCCAAACTGGACCTCCCTTCACTATTTTGCCTGCTCGCTTTGTATTCAGATAGTGTTGTGATTGTCAAAGGAGTGCGTGGAAGTCAATTGATTACAATGTCACGCCATACAGATGAGAGCAATGGAAAATATAGCGACGACCCTAGCTAGGCCCGGATATCGGAAGTCGAGGTTGGGGGGCAAAACCTCGCATGAAGGGCTGAGCTGGATAGCTATGATCCAATGAGAATCTGGGGAGAAGGGCCATACATAGGCTTCAGTGGTTTAACACCCATAAGACGTTCGACTACAACATTGTTTTTTGCTAAGCCTCGCATGTGGGGCTGAGCTGGATCGCCTCTGGTTCATATGTTCCATTGAGAATCTGGGGGGCGGGCCCGTACGCTCTCACCACTGCTGCACTATTGGTCTGCAGACAAAAGGTTCAACGATATGGGAGGGCAAGAGAAGTTGAGGCTTGGGAAGAAAGAACATGCGAGCGAGAAATTAGAGCTGGAAGTGAAGAACGAAACCAATAGTTAGGATAAGCGGTATGAAAATTGAGGTGCAATGACACAGGGGATTAAAGAGATTGAAGGGAATGAGAAGAAAAGGCAAGAGACAAGGTAGCGCTCCGGCCGGGAAAAGGTAGTACCGAGTTGACAGTAGGGATCCAGTTGGCTTCGAGTGATTGGCCGGGTGAAGTGGGTTGAATGTAGATGGTGAGAGTGCCGTCTGGGTTGTACTGTGCAGTGAGGGAGGGAACAACACGTGTGTGGTTGCACAGTGGTTGGTTGGGGGGAGGCAAGGAAATTGTACGTGTTTTGAGTCAAACTGAACACGATTCAGATAATGAATGTTGTGCAATCAGCGCTGTAGTGCCGTGAGGGCAGCCGCTAAGGTTGAGTGGCATAGGGATTAGAATGAGGGCAGGTGGGAAAGATGGAAGGTGGAAGGAAATAGGTTGCTTGGAGAAGTGAGCATGGCATTGCAGAGAAGGGGGACATGATGGATTGGATCGCACAAATGGAACGCGCTTGGAAGCATGGTAAAGGGTGACGGATGTGTTTTGCGGCAACTAAAAAACGGATTGTAAACAGTTGTAAACGGATTGCAGGCCTTGTAAGCGGTGGGGGGACAAGAAGGAACCGAGAGGAGGGATGGGGCTGAAGCATTGCACCAGGTTACAGACCAAAGGAGCCCTGGAGAAGGGATTGTGAAGGACAATGCATGCGAACGTGCAACCAGATGTGGTGTGCGGTTGCCTGCACCGAACATGGGGACCTCTTTTAATATTGTAAGCAGTGTCAGCTACCAGAATGAGTCGAACAGGTTGTGCAAGCAAGAGAGACTCACAATTCAGGCCTGGCACGTGGTCGCGCACACCAAACTTGGTGACTCCCTCCAGGAGATTGAGATTGGGAGAATTGTAAACAGTGACAGACCAGAAGGAGTTGACTGGGGGAGAGGTGAGGCACAGAAGCCTTACTCTAGAGGAGAGACGATGATTGTCGATGAACGTACCAGCAGTCCTGGCATACGGTCCCCAACTCCAAACTTGCTGACTTCCTCCAGAAGATTGAGGTTGGACGCATTGTAGATGATGACAGACCAGAAGGAGTCGACCGGGGGAGGGGTGAGGCGCAAGCAAGAAAGGCTCACCAAAAGGCCTGGAGTGCGGTCGCCCACGCCAAACTTAGTGACTCCCTCCAGGAGATTGAGGTTGGACGCGTTGTAAATGGTGACAGACCAGAAGGAGTCGACTGGGGGAGGCGTGAGGCGCAGACGGAAGCACTGGGAAAGAGGAACGAACGTATATGGACGTACCAGCAGGCCTGGAGTGCGGTCGCCCACACCGAACTTAGTGACTCCCTCCAAAAGGTTGAGATTAGAAGCGTTGTAAATGGTGACAGACCAGAACGAGTCGACCGGGGGAGGGGTAAGGCGCAGGCGGAAGCAGCGGGAGCCTTGGAGACGCGTGAAGGGGCAACGTGGGGTGGGCATGGAGGAGGGGAAGATGGAGGGCGGCTGAGGTTGCATGGTGGTTGAGTTGTTTGCAGCTGGGGAAGGGAGACTGGGAGGCTGTGGAAGAGACTCGGTTCCAGTAGCATTGCTGCTAGCTGTGGTGTTGCTGCTAGCTGTGGTGGTGGTGTTTTCAGCGCGGATGTTGCTCATTGTGCTGCTGCTGCGGACTGTGGTACTGTCTGGAGGGTCGATGGGGTTAATGGGACGAGCTGTGACGTTGCGTGCTGCTGTGATGTTGCTCGGTGAGGAGGGGGGATTCATAGGAATGCCGGGAGGAGTGGTGGCGTTGGGAGGTGCTGTAGCGTTGGGAGAGGCTGTGGCGTTGGGAGAAAAGGTAGGTGGAATGGTGGGAGGAGTAGTGGTGTTGGTTGCATTTTTAGCAGAAGGTTGTTGGGCTGCCACAGATGGGGTGACCTGGAGGACGGAGGAAAAGGAGGGGATGAAATGGGCAGGGAGGCAAGATAAAAAGAGATCTGTGTTGGAAGCAAACCAAGTCGGAGTGGTGGGAGGAGTGGTGGTGTTGGTTGGATTTGTAGCAGAAGGTTGTTGGGCTGCCACGTGACCTGGAGGAAGGGGGAAGACGAAGGATAGTCAGAAAGGAAGGAAGGAAGGAAGGAAGGAAGGAAGGAAGGAAGGAAGGAAGGAAGGAAGGAAGGAAGGAAGGAAGGAAGGAAGGAAGGAAGGAAGGAAGAAAGGAAGGTGAGGAAATAGATCACTTCTGTGGGTAACAGCCTGCAATGCCTTTCTCAATTGCAAGTGAGAGCAGCCCAATGAAAAGCAGAGAGGGAAGGGTGGCAGCTCACCGCAGCGAGGAAGGTGAGGAAGTAGACCACTTCTGTGGGCGGCAGCCCGCCAATGCCGCCCGGGGCTGTGAGCGTGGCTCGGTAGAGAAACTCCGTGTTAAAGTCATGGTCGAGGAGGGAGCGAGATGATGCCCAGAAGTTGTCACTGGGAAGAAGTGGATCAGGGTGGTTGGAGAGGAAAACACACAGAGCAGAAGAGGATAAGAAGAGTGGCAAGGTGATGGCTTGGTAGAGGAACTAGGTGTTGAAGCCATGGCCTAGGAGCGTGCGCGACAAGGCCCAGAAGTTCTCACTGGGAAGAGGAGAAGTCAACCGAACAGTTGGAGACATTAAAGGAATGGAGGGAGCAGAAAACACACAGAGGCAGGAAGAGGGAGAGGAGGATGGTGAGAGGGTGGCTCGGTAGAGGAGGAACTTGGTGTTGAAGCCATGGCTTAGGAGATAAAATTAATATTTTGAAACGTCTCAAAACATCACTTTTATCATGAGGATCTTGGTGTTGAAGCCATGGCACAGGAGGGTGTGCAACGATGCCCAGAAGTTCTCACTGCGAGAAGATGTGTCAGATACATGGGAACCAGAAAACCAGAGGTTAGCACAGGTGATGGGGAGAATAGCAAGGGGGTGGCTCGGTAGAGGGTGCGAGACGATGCCCAGAAGTTGTCACTGGGAGATGACGTGGCAGGTTCTCCTGGGCACTCACCTTTGAATGAGTGAGTGATTCGATCTGAATGACCACATTTGCTATCGTGATGAGCGTGTCGGTTGTCTGCCTTGCTGCCTCCAGCGCTGTAGCATCTGGGCACTCACCTTTGAATGAGTGAGTGATTCGATCTGAATGACCACATTTGCTATCGTGATGAGCGTGTCGGTTGTCTGCCTTGCTGCCTCCAGCGCTGTAACATCCGGGCACTCACCTTTGAATGAGTGAGTGATTCGATCTGAATGACCACATTTGGTATCGTGATGAGCGTGTCGGTTGTCTGCCTTGCTGCCTCCAGCACTGTAACATCCGGGCACTCACCTTTGAATGAGTGAGTGATTCGATCTGAATGACCACATTGGCCGCCCTGATGAGTGTGTTGTCGGTTGCCTGCCATGCTGCCTCCAGCGCTGTAACATCCGGGCACTCACCTTTGAATGAGAGATTCGTTGATCTGAATGACAATGTTCGCTGCCGTGATGAGCGTGTCGGTTGTCTGCCTTGCTGCCTCCAGTGCTGCTGCCTGCTGCTGTGTCACGCTGTAGGGGTCAAAGCCGTACTGCTGGGTGACGTTGATGGAGGCGAGCTGAGGGAGGGGGGGAGAGAGGGGACGAGCAAGGGAGGGCGGAAGAGAGGGAGAGGAAGGACGTTAGAAAGAAAGGGAGTATGTGACACTATAAGCCGTGCTGCTGGGTGAAGTTGATGGACGTGAGGTGAGAGAGGGAGGGGACGAGCGAGGGAGGGCAGAAGATAGGGAGGGGAGTGTGTGACACCGTGAGCTGAGCTGAGACGCGAGGGAGGGAGGGGAGGGGAGGGTGGGTGAGAGGGTGTGGGCACGGATGGGAGTGTGAGAACTGTAAACGTCTAAGCCATACTGCTGGTCTGAGACATCTCAAAACACTTCTGTTTTCACGTTAAACGGTTGCCAGTTGAGAAATGAGGGACGGGCAGAGAGGAGCGGGGTGGGCAGAGGGGTACGTGTGTCACCCTGTACAGCGGTTTGGGGTTCAAAACAATACCAGTATTTACAGAAGGATAATGCTGGCGGCAGTGTCCGCAGCAGCTACCTTCTCACCTCGAGTAAGGAAGCCCTGCCTGAACTCTCACCGTACCTGTAAAGGTCACTCTTTCACAACCCATATCCATACGGACCTTGCCCTCCAACCTCTCTCCGTGCTGCACCAGCACCAGCACCAGCACCAGCACCAGCATCATCACCAGCGCCAGCAGCATCACCAGCACCAGCACCAGCACCAGCACCAGCACCAGCACCAGCACCAGCACCAGCATCATCACCAGCACCAGCACCAGCACCAGCATCAGCACCAGCACCAGCATCATCACCAGCACCAGCACCAGCACCAGCATCATCAACAGCACCACCATCATCACCAGCACCACCATCAACATCAGCACCACTATCATCACCAGCACCACCATCAACATCAGCATCAGCATCAGCCTGCTGCCCCCGCTCGTCTCACCATGCGCACGACGCGGTTGTTGGCGCTGTTGTTGAAAGGCGGGTCGGATATGCTACACCGTGCTACCATTTAATCTATCCGAACAATGCCATATCCACATCAGCATGCCCACCATCCATCTCACCATGCGCACGACACGGTTGTTGGCGCTGTTGTTGAAGGGCGGGTCAGCATGCGGCACTGCACTGCTCTACCATTTACCCTCTCCCTCCCATGCTTAACCTGCCCGTCTCACCATGCGTACGACGCGGTTGTTGGCGCTGTTGTTTAAGGGCAGGTCCCGCTGAAGGCCCTCGCCAATGAGAGTCATGCGCTGCATGGGCGAGTAGGATGGAGGGCGACGGGAAGGTGGAATGATTCCTTCATTAGACTGGAGCGGAAAAAAAAGGAACAACAAGCTAGAAATCTGGCTTGAAATGGGATGGTTGAGGAAGGATGAAGATGAACAAGGGAAGGAAGGAAAGTGGGGGGTCAAATCACGGCTGATCACCTGCACGGCCACTGCTCACCTAGGCAGCAGAACTCACACTAGGGAAGGGAGCACAAGGGTGGGTGCTGCTGACCTGGAGGGCGTAGGAGAGGTTGGAGCTGGGGAGGTGGGGATTGGGGAGGGTGTTCCTACTAGTGCAGCAAACTTGGGAAAGCATGGCTTGGAAAGAGAAGGCCAGTTGCTGCTGACCTGGAGAGCCTCGGAGAGGTTGGAGCTGGGGAGGGGCGGATTGGGGAGGGGCGGAACTGCAGACCCGCCTAGTGCCTCTGAGAGTGACTGTAGCGAGACTTGACTGTAGAGGTCGAGCACTGTAGCAATGTCGTTGGACACGTTTTCTGACACGACCACTCGCATCAGCAGGAGCGCGTCGTTCGTAGGGGACTGTGGGAAATGGGGGACAGGGAAACGGGAGGGAGGGTAAAAAAATCAGGGAAGTTTGGCATAACCACTCGCATCAGCAGGAGAGCGTCGTCTGTAGGAGACTGTGGGTACGGGGAGACGGGGGTAAGGGAGAGAAGGTAAAGAAAGCAGGGAAGTTTTGCACGACCGCTCGCATCAGCAGGAGAACGTCGGCCGTGGGGGACTGTGGGTAGGGGGGAAGTAAGGGGGAGAGGGTGGGGAAAGGGATGGAGGAGGGTTTGCACAATGATTCACAATGCATGGTCAGCGCATCTGTGGCGACTGCCATAAACACCAATGATTGCCTTAAGTCAGTCACCCAAACACCGGCCTAGCGAATACAACCCCAACAGACAGAACTTCATAAATTACCCATTCACGAACACATCACTCCCACACATGTCACTCACTCGTATCAACGTGGGCGCTAGGTCACCAGGCAGCTCCCCAGCCCAGTTGGGCCCAACTAGAGTGAACGTATTGGGAGCAAGGGTCAATGAAACGACGCCATTATTGGGAATACTGGTAATCGCACTCACCCGTATGACGGTAGGTGCAAGGTCACCAGGCAGCTCTCTAGCCCAGTTGGGCCCGACTAGAGTGAACGTGTTGGGGCCTGGTCCGTTGGCTCGGCTGCCGTTCACACTGTAAGCCGGGCCATAGGTTTGGAAGAACCCGATGCTGCATCCAGAGAAGGAGAGCGAGAATGGGTGGGCGGATCGAGATAAACAGAATCTTGAAGTCGCCTCACAAGCCATACTAGTGGGTCAGTTCCGGGCCCAGCCTGGCCCGTTGACTCGGCTGCCGTTCACACTGAATGCCGGACCATACGTTTGGAAGAATCCAATGCTGCCACCACGAGGAAGGATCTGTGGTAGGGATTGAGATGGAGGAGAGCTGAATGGGTCGCTGACGTTCACACTGAATGCCGGGCCATATGCCTGGAAGAACCCGATGCAGCGAACAGAACAAGTGGAGGAGCCTACAGAACAGATTGGAGTAAGGAAACGGGGGTTAGACGTCCAGTCAGTGGCCTGGTCTGGGCCATAGGTCCCACAAAGGAGCCTGACACCACCGTCCTCACCTGTAGCTGTAGCAACGTTCAACACCACCTATATGACTGCGTCCCTCACCTGTAGTAGCGGCCTTGGCCCATGTTGGGCGTTCGGAACACCATGGGCTGGTCTCGCAGGTAGAGGAAGGCCCCTCCATACACCGTGTCCACATTGGGGAGCACCACGCCTGGAAGGGAGAAGGGAGGTGGGGAAAGGAAGAGGAGGAGATGTGTTTCAGCCTCCCCCATACACCGTGTCCACATTGGGGAGCGCCACGTCTGGGTGGGGTGGGGTGGCAGGGGGGAGAGACGATGAGAGTGATGCAAAAAAGAAGTGAAAGGTGGATGGAGGAGAGGAAGGCTCCTCCATACACCGTGTCCACATTGGGGAGAGCCACCGCTGGGTGGTTTGAAGGGGAAAAGAAAGGAGGAGAGAGAGGCGTTGTAATGTTGACGGGGGTGTGCGTCATCCTCTGCATCATTTGAAGGACACAGAAGGATGCATAAGCCACTGGAGGTGCCGACAACAGCGGTGGTGTTGGCGAAGGAAACAGTCGCATCAAAAGTCACTCTGAAATGAATGATGCATGAGAGGGAGGTCGCAAAGAATAGGCGTGACGCCGTGACTCACTGGTGGTGCCGACAACGGCGGTGGTGTTGGCGTAGGAGAAGGCGTTGAGGGCAGCACGGGTGGCCTGCTGGCGGAAGAAGGTGACCAGAGGAGACCCCCACACAAACGCCTCCTGCCCCACCGTGAAGTGCTGCACCGCACCCCCCTCCGTGCCATTGCCAGCCCCAGTGAAGTTACCAGCTCCAGTGGGGTTACCAGCTCCAGTGGGATTACCAGCAGCAGTGGGGTTACCAGCATCACTTCCATTTCCACTGCCTGGAGGGACGATGCCGAGGGGGACTGTGGTGTTACCAGTGCCACTGATGCTGCCACCACTGCTGTTCCCACTGCTGTTACTGGTAGGACCAGAGGTAGCACCATCACCACTGCTAGGAGGGACGATGCTGGGGGAGACTGTGGTGTTACCAGTGCCACTGATGCCAACACCACTGCTGTTCCCACTGCTGTTACTTGCAGGACCAACGGTACCAGCAGCACTGGCGCTAGTGCCATCACTGGCAGCACCACTGCTGCTCATCTCCCCAGGAAAAGATCCTGGCACACCAGGCCCCTGCTGAAGCCCTCGTCCCCCTCTCCCTACTCTAACCCCATCCATCAATCCTCCACCCCTCTGCTGCAGTCCGCCCCGAACAGGTTCCACAGAAGCAGAGAAGGCGCAGATGGGGAGAATCACCAGCAGCAGCAGCGACAGCAGAGCGACAGGCAACGCTGTGACTGTAGGCAGGCGTGACTTAAGCGAACTCGGCTGTAATCCTTGCCCCGTGACCTCTTTTCCTAGTCGCAAAGGGACCGTGGATATCAGGTCTGAGACACTGTTCATGATGGCAGATGGTGTCATGGAGTTGCCTGCTGTTGGTGGAGCACCAGAGACCAGAGATGCTGATAATGTCCGATCTTATTTCTAGCTGGATTAACCTTTGAGAATTCTCAAAAGTCACCAGGGACCAGAGATGCTGATGATAGGAGCTGTGCGGTCCCCTGTCACTGGATTGGCTTTTGAAAATCTCAAAAGACAAGAGTCCAGAGATCTGATGAGGAGGAGTTGTCCGGTCTGCTCTCAAGGTGCTGTTGCTCGTGCCAAGGACTCGTCACTGCCTGTCAAAGAAGCGGCAATCTGGCCCAAGAATATGCAACCTCAAATACCGTGGGAGTTGTTACTGTTGTGCTCGTCTGAGTGTGTAACGCACTTAAAGCCCGCTCTGACAGGGAACGGTGAGAAAAGGCTGATTGTCAAGTTGCCGAAATGCCAATACTCTGGGATCATAGGACCTGAATGAATAGGTGAAGATTACTGGCTCTAGTGAGAACCTTACTCTGGCCTTCAGTAGCTCCCCAACCTTACAATAACCAACCTTTCAATAGCTCTGCAGATCACGATCACTGTATGGAAATATGCCGACCAGGCTGGATTCTTAGTCGATGTAAAACAGGGAGTCAAACCGTTCCTCTACGAGTCGCGTGCTGTGCTGCCAGTGGAACTTGAGGTAAAATCGAGGCGCTCGACCCGTTTCAGTCGCCGCCGAGTTAGCGGCATCGTTAAACACTCGAGAGCAGCTGAAGTTGCAACCGAGGTTCCGTCTTCAAAAGTTTGTTCGAGCTTATTGATCCCATGAAGCGACTGGAATTCGTTCTGCTGTTGGCGGCAACGGCGGTGCGATCGTCGACATCATCATCACCGAGAAGCACCTGACGGGAGACGCTGTCATCAGACGGTGATGACTGCGAGGAGCGCGATAAGCGGTACCATGAAACGCAATAACGTTGAGAGTAATGCGATAGGCATGAGCTTCGAAAACCAAGGCACATGAGTGGATGCGATGTATCGCAGGCCGCAGTGCGACCACCGCATATGATACCGACACATCATGATGATCACACGGCGAAGGCTAGAAAGGAAGGGATAGTACGGAGGATCCAAGAGCACTCTTCGTTCGATGGCGCACACGTCACTATGATCGCGAAGGCAATCCCTTACTTGAGGGAAATGAGAGTCCGACTGCATATACACCGGGCATAATATCGAATGCCTTTTCCTCTGACGGATGTTCCGTGACTGCGCGTGTCCGCTATGATTTCGACAATCTGGGAGCCGAAACGATAGCGAAGGTGGACGTTATGTTTCGTCTCCTTTGACCGCCTCAGCTACCCAGCTTCTTCGAGCCCTGCGTCGATTCCCACGCCATAGCCAGTCTAATCTCAGTCCTTGCCTGGAAATGCTCATCCCACTTTTCGTGGAAGACAACTGGGTGGTTTGCAATGGATACAAGCATATGATCAGTCGCCACCATATTCAACCATTTGACAAGGCCATCCGTCGCTTTCTATACCAGGCTTGCGCTATGATGCTGATGGTAGCGTTGTTAATGAAGAAGCCACGTGGTGGAGATTTCGAGGACTGGGGATGGCAATGGAGGCGGAAGGGTACTGTAGCGAGTTTCCCCTCGCGTCGCCTCGGCAGGCGCACAACGGCAGTGCGGCTGGAAATGGATTTCCCAAGAGGCGGGAAAATGACCAAGCTCTTTGAAATCGTTGAGGGATGCACGCGATACAAGATCGATTCGGTAAAAGACATTCGTGAAATCAATCATTATGCAATAAATTGTCTGTAACAGCATTCGTTTAGACATGAACTGAGACACATTACTCACACACCAATTAACGGTACGTGGCAGGCCCTCAGATTCGTTTTTGGCCTGTCTGATTCGTCAGACTAGTACGCAGTTTTAGTCTGAAACTCTCAGAGTTGGTATTTAAAAAAGGCTGAAATTTCAGAATGTCTAAAAAAAAAGTGTAGTGAGGACCTTGGATAGGATAGGAGGTGCTTTGGTAGAGTTGGTAGCGGAAGTCTTGTAAGAACTCAGATCATTGTGAATGTAAATGACCAAGTTGATTAAAGCCAAGGTCTCAAGTAGTAGGAGTGCTTTGCACTTGGTGATAGGAGGTCGACTGGGATTGGTTGGCGAGGTCCAAGTTTAGGGGAGGGGTGAAGCGAGGGTTGCGGAGTGGACACAAATCGTTCAATTGTTTCCGAACCATTTAGCCACGGAAGTTGGTGTGGGCCGAAGCTGAAATGCCAGCAACTTCCCGAAAGCCCCGAAAGTCCCAAGTAAAAAGTCGATTGTTTTGCAATTCTTGTGGGGGCAAAAACAAGGGTGCGTCGCACACTACTTCCCATGCCAACCAGTCAGCTCGCCTGCTACAAACAGAGTAACGGAGCTTCAACTGCTTTGCAGTTTGCTAGAAAGGCATAGTGCCGGTATTGCGGAAGTTTGATTGTAAAATAAGTAGCAAGAGGAACTTACAACTGAAAAGATTCAGAACAATGGAATTGTTATGAAAATGACAGAGCAGGGTATTTATCTGAGCAGCTAACCCCTTCAGGATGGTTCTATCCACACCAACAATGCCACGCCAATAATTCTACCCACCAATAATTCTGACCCTCCAATAATTGTACAATTATTGGACGACTGAGAGTCTTATAAAGGAACACTACAGTAAAACCTAACAGCATAAGTATCATCTTATGTTTGTATATTTAACACTCCCCCTTGCTGTAGGTTTTACTGAGGCGTGACTGAATGGAGGATACGTTGGAATTGACGGTTGAATTTGTGGTAATGGCGTTGATTGCGGCGGTGATTTCGGTGGTGGCGGTGATCACGGCAGTGACTGTTGATTGATCCACCCTGCTAGGGTTTCGAACGTTCCGTTGAGAAAGTGTCGGCGGGAACCATACTTGCGACGGCTGCACGATCCAAGCTGAGTAGGCGCACGTCTCGCTTCTCAGGTGATTCCAGCAGTGCTACGCCCTGGGTCGCAATTCTCCCCGCAATCTCTCGGTTCTCGCTCAGCAGGGGTCTTCCAGACTCGTCATTCAGGCTCATCCTCGACAGATTGTCTCAGGGTTTCTCAGCACCTCCTCCCGTTCAGTTTCTTGTTCATCGTTTCCTGCCGCTGCTGCTGATGAGACTATGCCCGATTTTTCACCGAAACGTTAGGACTGCATGACGTGCTGCTTTTTCTGCCTTCCAGTGCTGGCCCGATTTCCTTTGCTATCGCGCGACTGCTGCTTTAGTCGCGACGAATTTGCTGCGCCATGGCGCGATGTCCTTCAGCTGCGCGCATCATTAGCGCTCGCCATGTCATGGCTGGTGCTCGGTGACAGCAGCGCACGTGACGACCTGCAGCGCCGGATGCGCGTTTCCTGAGGCTGCGGCCAGATCCGCGACTGCTGCTTCGGTCGCGCGGCTGCCGTGACCTCCTCGCTTGACAACCTGCGCGCTGCAGCTCCTTGCGCGCGACTGCTGTTCATGGCGCCCGTGGCGATCGGCAGCAGCGACTGGCGCACGACTGCAGCAGCATGCGCGCCGCTGCATTACCTCGCATGTGGCGGCTTCTGCTGGTGCGCGCCCTCCCCTTGCCATTTCGGGCGACCTTGTACTCGTGTGGCAGCATCTGCACTGCGACACTTGGCTCTTGGCAGGTGCGGGGCCTTCTCACACCAGCAGCTTCCGACGCCGCACCGCTGCAGCTACGTGCATACTCTGTCTTGACGAGGTGAGTTGCCCTTCTCCGTGTAACTACCACTGCTTGCATCTTGACCTCACTCATGTGTGTTTCTTGCAATTGATGTACTGCAGCACTGGCCGTGCTAAGTCGCTTGTTACTGCTCCCACATTCTCTTGTGATTTTCCTTGCCCCCGCCCATACCAGCTAGCGAGCGTAAGCGGCTGCAGCCGGCATCGGCACCTGGCACTCTGGCCCACACGTCTGCAGCTCCTGGTAGCGCATGGCTGCTGCTCCTGGCGGCTGCACGGCTGCTACTTCTGGCGGCCCACTACTGCTACTCCTGGTTGCGCACGGCTTTCTCCTTCCGACCGAGGTGAGAATGCTTAGTTGACTCTTGTCAGTTTCACCCATGTTACCCTGTTACTCTGTGCTGCTTCCCATGACCCTGTGCTGCTCCTCGTGACCATGTGCTGCTCCCCCTATACTAGGTGACCCCCGGAGGCAGCTGCAACTGGTACACAAGCACCTGGCGGCTGCTTCTGCTCCTGGCTCGCTCACCCCACCATGATGGGCGGCGGCAGCGGCAGCTGGCGACGCACGGCTGCAGCTCCTGATGCCATCGTGCTTCAGGTAAGGCGGCAGGCAATGGTATGAGCTGGCCGCAGCTGCAGCACCTGACGGTCCGCTCCACTTTCTCCCTCTGACCAAGGGAGTCACCTTTCATTCTTTGAAGTGTAGCGGTGAAACTTGCCTGTGTCACGTGACTGACTTCCTTCTCCACTGTTTGTCCTTCGCAACGGTGACGGCAGCTCCTTACCCCCGGCAGCACCAGCAGCACCTGGTGGGCTACTCCAGCACCTGGCAGGCCGCAGCACCGTCCTGTAGCTTCCTTACGCCCTGCGGCAGCTCCCCTTGACGCCTTGTAGCAGCAGCACCTGCATCACCATGATGAGTGGTGAGCAGCACCAGCAGCCCCTGTCTCCAGCTCCCCTTGCCTCCTATTGGAATTATACTTCTGTATTCAGTAGTACATCGTCAGCTGCTTCTTGTGATGCCCTCCGTCTCTTTTGGCTTGGACAATGT